CTCTTATGGTTTGCCTCCTTCCCTCTCTAACTTTTTTTTCCTTCCCCTCCTCCATGGTCTTCTGTCAAGTTTCTCAGGATCCACATAAGAGTGAAAACATATGGTATCTGTCTTTCTCTGTATGACTTATTTCACTTAGCATAACACTCTCCAGTTCCATCCACGTTGCTACAGAAGGCTGTATTTCATTCTTTCTCATTGCCTCGTAGTATTCCATTGTGTATATAAACCACAATTTCTTTATCCATTCATCAGTTGATGGACATTTAGGCTCTTTCCATAATTTGGCTATTGTTGAAAGTGCTGCTATAAACATTCGGGTACAAGTCTTAGGGGCACTTTCATTGAAAACTTTAAGATGTGTTGATTTAATATACCTTTTCATTTCATAAATGGATGAACTGAGGTCCCATATAGGCTGCAAGTCATCCAGGATCCCCCAGACAGACAGTGGAACTTGGCCTGGACAGCACACCTCTCTGTGGCTTAGACTCTTATCTGTCCTTGCTGGTCTGGCTACAGTTCAGCAAGAACGAAAAGAATGTTTGCTTTCCTGTCCCCTAAACAACCATTGAAAATAGCATTCACAGTGGCTAAAATCTGTTTTCCCATTTCGTAGATGAGAAACTGGAGATGCAGTGAGTTTAACTGACTTCTAAGCCTATGTGGTTAACAGGAATGCAGTTCTGGGAGCAGGCTTTTCCCAAGATTCTAAACTCAAGTCACATGGTTACTCACGGCAGGATGGCTCCTGGTCTATCAAATTTTGCATTGTTTCTGTATTTGGTGAAGATCTGAGATCGTTTGTGAGAAGATCCAAATCATTCTAGGGTCAGTGTCCTCCATTCTCTTTTCTCAGGACAAGCGTCCTGCCCACTCATGTAGGGTAACCAGCTCCAGCTCAGTCATTAGAACCTGCTATAGTTCATGCCTTCTGGAATGGAACCAGCATGCTCTGAGTTTGTTAAGACCTGAACCTGAGATATTAATAAACTCAGTAGCTATTTGATGTGACTTGGTCACCCAAAGATTAAACGGGAAAACCAGTATTTCACCCTATATAGGCTGATTCCAGAACCTCCGCCCTTACTCTGCATACTAGACTGCCATTTTTCTTCTCTCTGCATCAGCTGTTGGCTTAAATTTATAAGACCTTATGGGCAGATTCATGCACAGACTCCTCCTTGTGTGGAATCTGTGGGTAGATTAAAGGGGGTGGGGGTTTGACTTGGAAGTCAACTCCAATATTGAATAGTATCTCTGTTGCTAGCTTTATGACTTTGGCCAAATCAAAACCATCATTGGTGAAACTGGGATAATGTTCCCTAATTCTGAGAGTTTTTCTAGGTACTGAATGCAGCTACATGTGCCAGTGTCCTGCACAATGAAATTAATGGCTGCCACCATTGAGGACTTTCTGTATGCCAGGCACAGTCTAGTTGCAGCACATGGGTTATTCCATTTAATTGTTCTAACACTCTGTAGGATAGATACTGTTATTTCCCTCATTCTCCCACCATTTATACGGGTGGGCCACAGTGAAGGGGTGGTTATAAGGGCCCAATACCCCGGTCCATGGCAGGACAGACCTTTCTAAGTGTTTGAGCTA